AACAGGGAGACAAGCATGAGGAGAGTAACAATTATGGCAATCTTGGTAATGCTTTTTACCAACTGGGTTATTTAAAAAAATCCATAGAGTACCACAACCTTGATCTTAAATTAGCTAAAGAGGTAGGAGATAAGCATAGGGAGGGTGGTGCTTATGGAAATCTTGGCAATGCTTATTGCAGTCTGGCTGATTTCAAAAAAGCCACAGAGTACTACAACCTACATCTTCAAATAGCTAAAGAAGAAGGAGACGAGCGTGGGGAGGGTCATGCTTATTGCAATCTTGGCAATGCTTATGGGAGTCTGGGTGATTTTAGAAAAGCTCTAGAGTACCACATCCTACATCTTAAAACAGTTAAAGAAATAGGAGACAAGTATGGGGAGGGTTTAGGTTATTGTAATCTTGGCAATGCTTATTACCATTTGGGTGATTTCAAAAAAGCCAAAGAGTACTACAACCTACATCTTAAAGTAGTTAAAGAAGTAGGAGACAAGCATGGGGAGGGTATAGGTTATGGTAATCTTGGCAATGCTTATTACCGTTTGGGTGATTTCAAAAAAGCCATAGAGTACCACAACCTAAATCTTAAAATAGCCAAGGAAGTAGGAGACAAGCGTGGGGAGGGTGTTGCTAATGGCAATCTTGGAAATGGCTATCTAACTCTGGGAGATTTGATAAAGGCCAACAATTTATGCAACGTAGCGCTCAAAATTGCCAAAGAGGTGGAAGACAAATCCTTAGAGGCTACGGCCTACTATTCATTAGGATGTGTTTTTGAGTTGCAGGGTGGACTGCCAAAAGCCGTTGAACATTACCAAACTAGTATAGACTTAAGCAATTCCTTGAGAATACTTCTAAAATCTAAAGATGAGTGGAAAGTTAATTTTCGAGATCAGTATCAAGACGTGTATACACGTTTGAGTAGAGTTCTCGTAGAACAAGGTAATATCGTTGAAGCCTTATTTGTTGCTGAGAAAGGACGAGCTCAAGCTCTGACCGACCTCATGGAATCCAGTTTTTGTAGTGGAACAAGTCAGCACAAGAGAGGCGATGAAATTTTAGCAGTTTTAAAGAACGTTCCATCAGACACCGTCTTTCAGGCAGTGGACAAAGCTGACATTAATCTTTGGGTTGTGTCTGAAGGAAAACAAGTTCAGTTAAGACAAAGTAAACTCAATGGTTCTGTTTCAGAGAATGGTGGAGCCAGCCAGTACTCTGAGCCGTTCATGCTCGGTGTTTATACACAACTTGGTGTTCGTTCTAATAAGAGATGCGAGAACCGATCTTTAGATGCTTTGAGGGAGAGCCGTTCAAAAGTGGATGAGAAAACTGAAGAAGACAACCTTCAACCTCCCATCCAACAAAACGAATGCCTGAGCTTGTTGTATGATACCGTTATGAAGCCGGTGGCTGACCTGGTTCAAGGGAATGAGCTACTCATTATTCCCGATGGACCCCTGTGGCTCGCTCCTTACGCTGCATTCAAGGATGGAAATTCTAAATACCTGTACGAATCGTTCAGAATTCGACTCGCTCCATCGTTAAGAAGTCTTAGACTAATTGCCGATTGCCCAGATGATTATCACAAAAGCAGTCGTGCATTACTTGTAGGAAACCCGTGGGTGGTCGAGGTTACTGACAGCAAAGGGGAGATACTCCTCGAGCAGCTTCCGTCTGCTGAAGAAGAAGTAAAGTTGATCGGAAAAATTCTGAATATCACGCCAATCACTGGCAGACAGGCCACGAAACGCGAGGTGTTGAAAAGACTCTGTTCCGTTTCCTTAGTTCACTTTGCGGCACACGGATGTATGGAAACAGGCGAAATTGCTCTTACACCTGACCCAGAACGAAGATCTAATGTGCCAACGGAGGAAGATTACATTTTAACAATTGAAGATGTGTTGAATGTTCAACTTTGCGCCAAACTTGTTGTACTCAGTTGCTGCCACAGTGGTCGGGGCGAGATCAAGGCTGAAGGTGTGGTTGGCATTGCGCGCGCTTTTATGGGGGCTGGTGCCCGGTCTGTTGTGGTGTCCCTGTGGGCGATTGATGACGAGGCTACTCTCGAGTTCATGAAATACTTTTATCAACACCTTGCTGAAGGAAAATCTGCAAGCGAGTCACTGAACCTGGCTATGAGAAGCCTCAGAGAATCAGCCAAGTTCCGCGACATCAAATACTGGGCGCCCTTTTTACTGATTGGAGATGACGTCAGTCTTGACTTCATGGCAAAAGAAAGATAGAATTTGAATATAAAATCACATAAATCAATTTTTTTTTTCATCTCAAAAAGAATGACGCAGGAACTTGGAAGTTTTAAATGTTTCTCTATTTTGACAATTTTTGGCTATTTTTCATAACTTTTTACTTTTTCTTTAACTGGAACTTGAGATGTGTAACTTTACTTTTGTGAGGAAATAAAAACAGATTGTTTCATAACAGTTTGATCAATGGAATTGTTTGTTTTCGTACTTTAACAAATTTTATGCTTGTGAATACAATTTTTAAATTGTTTTCCATACAAAAACAAAGAAACCTTTAAAAACCATATAAAAGCCTCTGAAAAGGTTTTTGATTTTACATAACCAGGAGCTAGTCCATCAGGTTTTAATTACGTTTATACTTTAAGCTTTTGATAAGCAAAGAAACAGCTCGTCATTTGCAAAAGTTGGCACATTTTTATTTCAAAATTTTGATCTGCAAAATTCGCAGCCGTACGTTGATTAAACTTGGATGGTTTTTCTACACCAAAAATTTCTTTGTCACAAATTGAGATTAACTTTACAAGAAAAAAATTATTATTACCATTTTAATGCAATCTAATTCTATCACTGCCAAGACTGCCATTCTAAGCTTAATTTGAAGAAGTAAACATCTGTGATAATGTTATTGGATTTGCCGACCATATTTTAGAGACATAAGATCTACTTTTAGAGGTGTAGCCAGCCTCTATTCCTGTAGACCCGGGCTACAATTGTTTTCTGCCCGCTTGACTTTGACAATCTGACTCTTACTAATGTTGAAACAAAAATTGAAATTTCGAAGGGAACAGGCCTTCAACAAGCCTAAAAGCTGGCTACAACCCTGATTTTAATCAAACGAGTTTGGTCAATTTTAGTCCGTCTTATGAAACACTTATCTGTTGGTTTTAAAGAATCACGACAGAGAGGTAAAAAATTGTCCATGTAATCTAAACAAGGAAAGAGCGAAGGAGAGTTCACTGTAACTAATGTTTCCATAGCTTTAACTTTTAATGTATGTGACATGGAATTTGTTGTTTTTAGTAGGAAAATATTTACGTCCATAAATCAGAGAAGCAATTGAAAAAAGCTATGTAGTCCTCAAAAGTAATTAATTTGGTGAAATAGTTCATAAGTAAATGCGAACTAGTCCGTAGTTGAAAAGTTTCTGAGCTTAAGGAGAAAACTTTCAATTTTTGAAAATTCCCTGTTGAAAATTTTTTCATTGCTTTAAATTTACCTTAGTATAATTTGAAGATGTCTGATAATATCTTTCTTAGATTTGAGAATTTATACTTAGGTATTCAGAGCACTTTTTGTAATTAGAATCCGTTATGTGGTCAAAAGTTTAAGATATACTGTATCACAGCTGTGTAAGAAGAAATTTTTGTAAAATCAATCTTAATTTTGCAGATTTTCGTAACTACCATTGGTATATGCCGGTAGAAAATGCAATAGTTAACCTTGCACATGGTTGAATATGATGTAACGTAGGATTTTAAAAACAAGACAAGGTGGAACGCTTTTAACCAATGTATAATGTCGGTGAATTTCATGTGAAGTATTTTGATGCTATCTTTATTTACAGTTGAAGATAATTGTTCATTTACCTTAGTTTAATTAACTCATGAACTCCCAAGTTCTGAAGACAAATTCTCTCAGATGATAAGAATGTGTTTCTTTGTTACTTCTTTCTTAGAGTTCGATGTAACATCACGTTTGTAGCATAAAATTTTCCTCCAGTTTTGATTTTCTTTAATTCTTGACACCATTTTTGTGGGTGTATTAATTTTGTGAGGAGAATTTAAACTATAATCAGTCTTGGAAGTAAATGGGTTCATTTTATTGTCTCTGTTTAGCGCGTATTTTACTTAAAGCCTTGAACAATTTAGTACAGTTTCTATTGTACTTATTTGTTTCACTTCTTTGTGCAAGAGAAATAAACAGTGTATAAAATAAAAAAACTACGTTGATTTTCAATGTCTGTCTCCATATTCTAAGGATTCACGTAATAAGCAGAGAGAACAGATCCTATGGGGACTTCAATACTTGTTTTGACCCGCGCGCGCTAGATTGCTAATCTGTGCAGCTGACAGTGTTTCAAGTCCCCACCCACTTAACAGAAGCGCTTCGTTTCTTAGATTGCGTATCTTCCACTGTCCATCGTTCTCCATATTGTCAAACGGTTTTGAACGCCGACGGACGTGTTTATACTGTCA